TAGAAGGTTGATTTAAGTGTTTAGCTTGCCCTTTTCACCCGTGCAAAAATCACACAATTTTTTACACTTCTTGTTATAGTATTTTTGTGTGGATTTTTTTTTTTCAAATTCATACTTACTACAAAATGTCACATATATACGGAGTGAGTTTGTGTGAGTGGTAAATGAAAGAGGAGTTTAGCAATATTTTTTTTTTTTTTTAATGATAACTAAAATTTACTATTTTATAATTTTGTGAAATATAATTTGAACTAAACATTTTAATTATTTTTATGTATTAATATTTTAATAGTAGACATGAATTTTTCTGTATTGTGCATATGAAATACTAGTATTTATAATGAGTTAATAACACATTTAATTATTGATTTTAGTTAGATCTTAGTTATTGACTTTAGTGTTTTTTTTTTAAATAGTTATAGACAAATATTAAAGTATTTCACTTTCCCTTTTAAGTAATGTTGGCAAATGTTTCTACCATCTACAAATACAAATCTAATAAGAGCTCAATAAAGTTAGGTCATTAACCGAAACTAAAAAATATTGGTGTAATTGTTTGTTAAAATAAATGGTTCATATTATTTTGACTAATTTTACACGTGCATTGCGCGAATGGGTTAATGCTCAATATTTGTATTTAAATAAATATTTGAATGTATATCAATGCAAGATTATATAGGGGAAGTTCATACATATGTAATAGCATAGATGACAGCGTAATGCAATGGGATTATGGTGTAGGAAGCTGTGGGTTTTTTTTGTTGTGTATATGACTGAGATCTTAGTTGTACTATGAACTCTTGAATAAAATGTTGATATTTTACAGTGGTAGTTTGTTCCACTACATGTTTCATGTGAAAGTATTGAAAAAAAAATATTAATATTTATTATATTTGTATATATGGTTCATAAGTAGTATCTCTTGTTCTATTTTCATAACTTGATTACTTGATAGTAACAACAATAACTCTACAGGTAGTCCGAATATATATGCTGCAACATGTTTAGTTTCATCAATAATTTCTATCTCCATTTTGCACATGTTCATTTTCAAGTTTATATTTTTAGAATTAGTATGAATGAGTGTAGTACTTGATTTTGTGTGTGTGTGTTTTATATTTTTAATTTTTTATTGAATTGATATTAACCTTCGAGTTAAATTGTTTTCCATTTTGTGCATATTTTTTTTTTTTTAAAAATAGTGACTACATCCTATATACCAAGTATTTTTGTTGTGAAGGTTGATGTTGATTTTGCCTGTAATCTAAGCAGATTGAGTCTAGAAAATGAAATGAATTGTAAATTTATATTAGTTCTAATATATTTAATAAATGCATAGTAAGTATTTTAGATACATGACAAATGAATGAATCAACCGTGGTTATTTTGAAATTTCTTCATTTTCTATGTTCGCCAAATTGATTGCAGCATTGTTGTAGTTTCGGTATCTTTTCAATGCATCAAGTGTGTTATGATATTCTATTGCGCTAAATGACAGTTTTAATAATGAGTTTTAAATGTAGCTATGTAAGATAATAATATAATTAATATTTACATATTATTATTAACATAAAAGCATACACGTCCTTTATGTGTTCTGCTCGAGGTTCATTTGTCTCAACCATTATTGTTGAATGAGTTATTTTGGATAAAGAAATTAGAAATCTATAGTTTAAAGAATAAGATTAGATAAATTAGTGAAAATTTGAACATTTTAAATATGATGTAGTTCAAAGATGTTACGATGTAGTTTTCCGTTTCAATTTATTGGATTATTTGAATACTCACTTTGTCAACAAATCCCCGAGTTGTTAATATGATTGGTTTCAAACTATTTTTTTTAAAATTTTTTTATTTGTTGTGATATTAATAAAATATTTTGTAAAATAAATATATAACATTATTTTGTATTATATAACTCTGATATTTAATTAAAAGATAGTGTAAAAAGAAGATAATGGACAATGTAATGAATATCAATTGATTAATTTGAATGAAATGAATCTTTGTATTGGAGAAAATAAAGACAATATAACTAATGAAATTATTTCTCTTATTTAATTTATTGATAACGGATATTTTTAAAAAAAATAAAAATATTGTAGACACATAATTCTTATTTTAAAGGGAGGGGATTACCGAAACAAAGTTTAGTACAGCTAGCTTAGTTATTTACAAAACGCCATAATTGGAAACCACAATTATCATCATCTAGAAAAGGCGGCAGTACGTGCATGCCTCTCGGCCAATTACCAGCAAGACCGACAGCTGTATTGTTCTGCTCTCGTACAACCCATGCAATCCTCCCAAGGAAAATGCGGATTCGGTTCGGAACTCTCAGCTTCCACATCGTCCTCCAGATCACAAGTTGGGCTAGTTTTTTTAAAGCATAATTATGTACAGTAATGACGAATTATACCATATAATTCACTTTGTATTGTGGACCATAATCACGGACCACATTCAAATATTATATACTTGTAGATGCAGTACAAATATTATGCTCTTTGTAATAGGCACTCTATAAATACATAATATCTTTTTTTTTTTTTTAAATACTCTTACTATTAGAATTTGATCATGACACCTTTGTTTTCATACATTAGTATTATTTTCTAAAAAATAATGAATGTCTTAAAAATAAAAGTTTAATGATGTAATTGATTTTTCTCCCAAATACTTCAAAAGCCTATTTGGACTTTATCAAAAAAAAATCCAAACTTGCATTTTAGGCATAGTTCTTTAGCAAAGTTTTTTTTTTTTTTTTTTTTTTTGAAAATCAAAACTAGAACTTTTATTAAATAAAAAAAATACAATCAGGAAAAGAAGAAATCCAACATATATGTACTTAAAATTATTTGTTTAGGGGAATATTAATAATAATAATAATAATTATTATTATTATTATTATTATTATTATTATTATTATTATTATATGAAAAAGAGAGAATCGTAACCGACATGAAACAGAATTGACTGCGTAATTCACACCATGAGCTCTGGCGCATCCCCATCCCATGTTGCTCCGGTGCATGCGCTGATCTCTCTCATTTTCTCTCTCTACACTATGGGGCGATCTCAGGGAAAAGTTAGCAAAACATTTCACATCCCAATGAGGTGATTAAGTTTCAAAATTGGGTGTTTGACGAGGAATAAAACAACATGATTATGATTCTTCGCCGCAGATTGTGATATACTTATATAATAATATTTATTAATTTCTGCGAGGAAGATCCTTCTTTTTTCAAAAGGTTGAATCTCCAATCTAAAGGGTCCCCAAAATTTCGATCTTATGTGGGAAAATGTAAATTACCGTGATTCAATGATTTTAGCAGACAGGATCAAATGTCGGTGCTGACAAAGAATCTACTCACTTTTAACATAATTCTCACACTATCATTATCGAAGTTCGAACTTTAATCTCTTCTCTCAAATACTGCACACTAAATCATTGAGCTAAACATGTGCCGGTGAAGATCTCTTCTGTGTTCGCTGTTTGCTTAGCAGGAAGAAATGTCTGAATTGGTGGCTCGGACTGGTAGGCAACAGCAACGCTACCACGAAGGCTTTCGCCTCATCGCCGGGTGCTTTTTCATCTGCTCTCCCCTTCTTCTATGCATTCATTTCCGTGCTTCTTTTTTTTTTTTTTTTTTTTCGATTTATTTGATTTTTTTATTTTTTTATTTGCTGAAATGTGTGTTTCCTCGCTGCGGAATTTTTGATATTTGGTTTGTTTGTATTTCAAATTTTGATATTTGGTTTTTCTTTTTAATGGGATTCTTGAAAAATAATTGTGATTTTGATTTTTGAATATTTGAAATCTTGTATTATATGGAGTAGTTTATTTTATTGTTTAAACTTAAAATTTGACATCCTATCCACATCCAATTGGTCAAATTTGCTATTAACATACCGGATCATATTGGATTGCACCCTATTGGATCTGAATGTGAATAAGATTTGTAAAATCCACTTTTAACAGATTGGATGTAAATTTACCCTAAATTTGCTCCAATCCGCTTCGCACTCATGTAACTTGTACATGAACTACATTTAGAATATAATATAGCTGAAATGGTACATTTCACCACATTCACAACCTAAATGTTATTCTACAATCACCCGTAACAATTAATTATCATCATATTTTATTAAAATTATTTAAAAAAATTATTCAACATTTTTGTATAATGTTTATATGTTTATATTTGGATATCAGTTGCATACACATAAATTTTACTCATTTTATGAACATAATTAAATTATATGTTACATATGATGAATATATTGAGTCCAACCCAAGGAGAAAAGGTTAAGTATAAGGGGTCCAGTACGAAAACTGCCCAAGCAGGGGTGAGGACCCGACATCAGAATTGACCTCCGGAGTTTGTCCCCCGAGCCTAGGTGGGGGCGATCAAGCCTTGACCTAATCTCAAGGGCTGCCCTATTTAGGGGGTTTGTTAGGTACGTAGACCTTGTTTTGGTTAGGACATGATGATGTTCTCTTATTACTAATCTTGTAATAGACAAACATTCATACAAAAAAATCTCTAGCAATGTCATTGTCCTATTTTTTCATTGTCTTTGTTATCTTATTCTTATTTTAAATCCAGAATTAATTAATTTAATTTATTTGAACCCAAATTAATTAATTTCATCTACTCATAATTAGTTCTCTCTCTCTCTCTCTCTCACACACACACACACACACACACACACATATATATATATATATATATATATATATATCTTTTATATGCAATGCATAAAAATCGATGTCTAATGTTAGTACTTTATATTAAAATTAAAATTAGTTAGAGATATATAAAGATAATTATTAATACCGTCATCATATAGTATAGCTGTCAATTATTGAGCAACAAAAGTAATTACAATTTTGTTTGGTTACATACTAATTATTACATAGTTACATATACATACTATAAGATTGGATTGAACCCTGTTTCTTTGCTGTCGCTTTGTCAGCATCTTTCGTGAATCTTCTGCCTTGTACGTATTTAAACCCCTCCAAATCTTCCCACTACAGACACAAACAAACCCAAATTTCATCACTTTACGCACCCAAAACACATCACACACACCCCCTTTTCTTCTTTTCATCCTTCTATCTTTCACGTACCGGAATTACAGAATAAACGTTTCATGGCGGATAGGAAAGATAATATATCGGATTGCGGTGACGAATCCGAATCAGAGTATGAAGTGGCAGAGAGTATGTATGAAGAAGAGGGTGCTGGTGCCGGCGGCGATGAACCCGAAGGAAGAACTTACCAACAATGGCCGCAAAGTTTCAGGTGTGTTTTTACTTACAACATTTATGTACATATCTGCAGGGGAATGATTAGAGTCAAAATTCATACTTTAAAAAAATATTTCAGTGATAAGTGGTACATTTTTTTCTTTTTTTGTTTGATCAATGATCATTAGATAATAGCATTGGTTATAACAAACAAAAGCTTACAACTTTATTTTGGAGAGATTCAAATATTCAATCCAATGGACTCTTTGTTTTCATCCTATATATTGGAGTATGAAATGTATTTAAAATTTAAAGTGGCCTGGGGTAAAGTTAAAATGTATATGTATAGATGATTTGCAGAAACTTTATCCAGAGATCACATATACATAATACATATAGACTGATTCATGTAGCTATTTGTGAAAATTAAAGGGGTGTTCTAATTAAAGCTGGTGATTTTTTGGTTTGAATTCCAGGGAAGCAACTGATATGTTTTCAATTGCTGCAACTCCTCAAATGACATCTGTAATACGCCGAGCTAGTAGTATTTTTTCAAGTTTTGACTTCCAAAGTTCTGGTAACTTGGATGCTACTGGGAAGGTTCCATTGTTGCCTGACCTTGAAAAAGTATTTCAAAGACGAGACTCTGCAAGGCCGTCGAGAGTACCCTCGAGAGTACAACCTTCGTTCTCACAGAGGTCAACATATCATAAGCAACCAACTGGGGAACTTCCTATTAGCTATGGATGTACACTAGTTCAAACTATTTTCAATGGTTAGGAACTTTAATTTCCTGTTTCCCCCAGCTATTTTATTGTCAATCGAATTACTTCTCTATTTCTATTTGGTCGTTCAAGATGTCGTTTTCTATGGAACATACAGGCTTAAATGTATTGGCTGGGATTGGACTTCTTTCAACAGCATTTACAGTGAGAGAAGCTGGTTGGGCAAGTTTAGCAGTGCTTGTTCTTTTTGCTGTTGTATGTTGTTACACAGCCACTCTAATGCGGAGGTGTTTCGAAACCAAATTTGGTATCTGGACCTTTGCTGATATGGGAGAAGCTGCATTTGGCAAATTTGGGCGTATATTTGTTTCTGTAAGTAGCTAGACTGAGCTTTTAATTAGGTGATGAAGCATGCATATAAGAAGAATTTATATATCACTTTTGTCCACCATTTGCTGCATTTCTGCTTCTACGTGATATGATTAGCGTTTTAATCCAACACAATTTACCTACCTTTGTATCTTACTATTGCAATATAATTCATACATACATTTTAGGTCTCTAAACAAACTAATATGTATATGTATTAATGTACTAGTTCTCAACATCCATGCAATTTTGTTTAGAAAAGGGACATATCCAATTTGAGTTGTATTGATGATAAGTATTTGACTTTATTTTTGTATTCTTGATTTGATGCAGATCCTTTTGTACTTGGAGCTATATGTAAGGGTCATGTTTCCTACAACCTTTGCAGATTGCTTTGACTGAGTTTAATATCAACCTAATTTCTAATTCACATTCTTTTACTGCAGTCATCTTGCGTGGAATATGTTATTTTGGAGGGTGATAACCTTACCAGGTTATTCCCTGGAGTGAAGATTGATTTGCCGAGTTTCAAATTAAGTTCTGAGAAAATATTTGCAACCCTAGGTGTACTTGTCATTCTCCCAACATTATGGTTGAAGGATTTACGACTGATCTCTTATCTTTCAGGTTCTTTACTTGTTTCATGACTTCTAGTAGAAGGATCCACCATCCCATATCATAACCTATTTTCTTTCATTTTTATTTTTTATTTTTATTTTGCAGCTGGAGGGGTGCTTTCAGCCGCTACATTAGTTCTTTCTCTACTACTTCTTGGTACAGCAGATAATGTGGGATTTCACCATACAGGTCAAGTGGTAAACTGGAAAGGTGTTCCATTTGCAGTTGGTGTCCATGGTTTCTGCTATTCAGGGCACTCCGTTTTTCCAAATATCTACCATTCTATGGCTGACAAAACCCAATTTACAAAGGCTTTAATTATATGGTATGAACACCGTGTGGTTCTTGGGATTTTTCGACTTTCATTTGCCTGTCTAATATAATGCCGGTGGTTTTGATTGTGGCGCAGTTTTAGTTTGTGTGTTCTCATGTATGGTGGCGCTGCAGTCATGGGATTTATGATGTTTGGTCCAGACACACTGTCACAGATTACTTTGAATATGCCAAAAGATTTCGTTGTTTCTAAAGTTGCAGTATGGACAACAGTGAGTACTATTCGATCTGGTTTTTTCCCTTAGTTCCAAGATTTACGGCAATACTAATTCCATAATTCTCACTCTATGCAGGTTTTAATCCCAATCGCCAAATATCCTTTTCTTTAGTCATTTCATAAAAAAAAAAAAAAAAATCATATATGATTTTGTCATACACTAACACTGTTGTTGCTAATTCTTTGGCCTGGGCTGATTCCTTAACGCTTCTCAAATATGCCTTGCTAATGAATCCATGTGCTAGGAGTATAGAAGAACTTCTGCCTCATAGTTTGTCTACCAACTTTTGGTGTTTCGTTCTGCTAAGGACTGCCCTCGCCATATCTACTCTTTTTGTTGCTTTTACGGTTCCCTTTTTCAGTAAGTAACTGGTAACATCATCTTTTCTTCGTTGTCTTCTCTATCAAAATTCATTTCTGGAACGCCTCCCCTTACTTGCAGGTACTATGATGGCACTTGTTGGTTCTCTCTGTAGTGTACTTATGGTAAGTATCATATATATATATCCCCGTTTTGTGTTGATAAAAGAATTATTAGCTCTTAGATCTCCTCTCTCATTCTGCGCTGGGCTTTGCTTCAGGCATTGATAATGCCATCTCTGTGCTTTCTGAAAATTGTGGGTGATGAGGCAACAAGTAAACAGGTAAAGTTGTTTTCTTTTTGAGTTTTCTCTTCTGCCCGTGATGATTTCCACCATTAACGAATTGTAGTAATCATCACAGGTCACGTTGAGTATTGCAATCGTTTGTTTGGGCATAATCTGTGGCAGCGTTGGGACTTACAGTTCAATATCGCGGCTTCTGGGGCAATTATGACGCACCAACAGCTCTCTTTCTTGTGTTTGAGGTTCTTATGTAAACACTTCACAATCCCAGCTAGATTGTACCTTTAACATATATGGCCATGGTTTTTTTTTTTTTTTTTTTGGAATACTACACTCTGTAACAACTTACAATGTAGTATAGCAATGGGTTAGTGTACACCTTATATAAGTGTAGTATTATTGTCTTTACCTCTTCAAACAATTCAATACAATTGCCTTTCTTTTCATGTTTCTCTTTACCAAATTTAAAAATGTTTGGAGATTTGGAAACCAAGTGGCTCATTATATATGGGTAGTTATCTAGTTTGTACATGAATTAATTTCTTTGTCAATATGTTTAATAACTTCTTCAACCAAGCAAGTCCAGTTTTGTTTAATCTTTAGAAGGTTGATTTGAGTGTTTAGTTTGCTCTATAAGGTAACAATCGTTATACCCTACACCACGGCGCGCGTAGCACTGTGCGCCGCGCGCCTCCCAAAACGATGTCGTTTTGGGAGGCGTGGTAGGAAGTTGCTGTGATTATGTATATTTGTTTATACAATTATGTACACTTTTTTTATACAATTATGTACATCCTAATCAGGAAATTTTTGTGTATTATGTTAAGAGTTAATGTGTATTAGGTTAAAAGTTTATGTTTATTATGTATTATGTTAGATTATGTGTATTATCTTTTAAAAAATAGTATCTATATTTTGTTATACAATTATGTACATTTATGTATTCAATTATGTACATCCATGTATAACATTATGTACATTTTTGAACATAGTTTTTTTTAAAGAAAAATTAACTGCCAAACACTGGGGCGGAAAATTTCAAAAAAAAAAATAATAATAATAAAAAAAATAAAACGACGTTGTTTTGCATTTGGGCGCACAATGCAACGCGCGCCGTGGTGTAGGATATAAATTGCCATAAAGTAATTGAAAAACAATAATTTAAAAATAGTTTGCCATGGTTGCCTCTACCTTCTTCTGAATTTTATATTTTTTTTTCAAATTGTTTTCTTTTTTTTTTTTCTAATAATTAGGTATACATTTTGTTATAAATTTCTTTGCCTAAATACCTAACGTTATAGAGTATCATTGAATAATAAGGTACACTTAATGCATAGTTTATGAAGATTGATTCACGGCATTAGAAAGAGAGATAACCCAAATGAATGTTGAGAAATTCCATGGAATGAAAAGATCTTATTTATTTAAACTCACGTATTAGTTAGACTGAATTAGAATTTACAAAGATGATCAATTTGTAAATTTTAACAAATAATCTGTCAGATATATCTATTGATCATACTGATCATAAAATAGTGACTAGGTCTCGTATACCTTCCCCAACTTACACCAAACATATATATCAATACTCCTCGATGCCAAAACTGTAGGTGTAAGAGATAAGTAGAATCATAATATTAGATCAAGTAAAGAAACTTTGTCGCTCTTGAAATATCTTAAAGAATTATGTCCTGAAGACGTTCGTTTAGATGACGAAAAACTCTAGTAATTTATAGAGGCACCAAATAAACATAATACTAGGGATACGGAACGACCATATCTAAATACTAAGCAGTGTTATGAATAAATATGTATGGACACTACTATAGGTATTATACTATGATAATACATCTTCATCATTTGTAGTATTGTAGTTATATTAGAACTCTGTATATCTTGTATATATTATATTGAAGGATGATTAATAAAAAATAGATGATTCCCTCTGTATCTCTAATCTTCTCTTTACTTTACTATATTCTTATTACATTCTTACAATCGAGATGACACAACTCTTCATGCAATGATATCTCAGTTTCACAATAACAACAACCATTGTTAGTCTAGTTAGTTATGATAGAGGTATATTAGATTGAGAGTTTAGAAATTCAATTTTCTTATGAACAAAATTTTTAAATACTAAATCAATTAAATTAAAAAAAAAAAAAAAAACCAAAACTAAATCAATTAAATTTAAAAGTATATTTAGATAAAATTTGGGAGTTGGGTGAGTACCCGCTAGCTGGTTACACAATTGTTATATCGTGCACCAGGGCGCATACTATATTGTTCGTCCCGCCCTACCTAAAATGACATCGTTTTGTTAAGTTATGTGGAGTTGACGCGAGAGAGTGTATGTGTATTCTGTTATACAATTATGTACATTTTTTATACAATTATGTACATTCTTTTATACAATTATGTACATTTGAAACAGAGGATTTTTTTAAGAGTTAAAAGTTTATGTGTATTATGTATTATGTTAGATTATGTGTATTATCTTTTCAAAAAAGAGTATGTGTATTCTATTATACAATTATGTACATTCTGTTATACAATTATGTACATTCGAATCATGAGATTTTTTAAGAAGTTAACAATAGACACGGAAAGCGGAATTACCAAAAAAAAAAAAAAAAAAACAGGTACAAAACGATGACGTTTTAGGCCAAGGCACACAATGCATTGTGCGCCCTGGTTCACGATATATTTGCCCTAGTTACACGGCAAATTATGATGTGGACCCGGGTACCTTGCAAGGTAGACCCGGGTTCAAAACGATGCCGTCTGAATTTAAAAAAAAAAAATCGTTCCTCTATATTCACAATTTTTGAACTCTATATTCACAATTTTAGAACTCTATATTCACAATTTTAAATCTCAATATACAAAATTACAGGACTCTATATTTACAATTTTAGAACTCTATATTCACAATTTTAGAACTGAATATTCACAATTTTAGATCTCAATATACAAAATTACAGAACTCAATTATATTCACAATTGCAGAACTCTATATTCACAATTATATTAACAATATAACACAATTTTTGAACTCTATATTCACAATTTTTGAACGGTACCACTAACAACGGCAAATTATGCTGTGCATCCGTATGCACCATGCATGTTGCATACGGATGCAAAACGACGTCGTTTAATTAAAAATGCGCGTCTCACTAAAAAAAAATTCAGTTTCAATTTCCAGCAACAACATTATATTGTGCATAATTTGAACTATATGTATTGTAATGAGGTCACATAATTTTGGATAAAGATGTGCTACAAAATCTATAATTAGTTTCTTTTGAACCATTCATACGTATTGCAATAACATTTTCATCTTTAGTTACACAAATTTTCTTATAAATTGTGGATACTAAATGATTCTATTCAATTTTCCATTTGTAAATATATATCTTTACATAACTATATTTCCAATAACACACATATATATATATATATATATATATATATATATATATATACATATTTTTTAAAATATTTTCAGTAACTTTACATTTTATAAAATATATAATCGAGATTAATATTTTTTTCATCTCGGCTAACCTTTTTTTTTTTTTGACGGCTCAACCTTATAATTATACAATCCTTATATTCTAAGTATAAAATAACATTTGATGTAAAAATTATTAATTTTCATCTCGGCTAAACCTTATATTTCCATTTGGTATTACAAACCTCTTTCCATCTTTAATTACACAATTTTATTTATAAATTGTGGATACTAAACGATTCTATTCCATTTTTCATTTTAAATATATATCTTTACATAATTATATTTCAGTAACATATATATACGATTTTTTTTTCAGTAACTTTATATTTTATAAAATATATAACCAAAATTAATATTCTTTCTATATACTGAGCCAATTTGAAAATATTTTTCATTTTTAATCAATTATTAATAGTCATTTTTTAAAACATTAATAGTCATTTCTTATTTCAATTGGCCTAAATTTCTTGTCATTTTTATTCTCAATCAATTATTTTTTTAATACATATTAATTAATTAGTTAATTATTAATAACAATTTTTTTTTATATTTCCACTAACTTTACATTTTATAAAATATATAATCAAGATTAATATTTCTTTCTATCTAGGCTAAACATAGAGATGCAAACTTCATTTTACATTTTTATTAATATATTTTATACCAGTAATTTTTATATTTTTAGTAACTTATTAATATTCAAGTATTAATATTCATTTCCTTTTTCAATTGTCCTAATTTCAATGAAAATTTTTATATTTCCAATAATTTATTAATATTAGAGTATTAATATTCATTTCATTTTTATTTTTTAATCAATTATTAATATTCATTTTATTTTTTTACATTTGAGCAAGTTTCGAAATATTTTTAATTTTCAGTTAATTATTAATAGTCATTTATTATTTGTTTGGGAATAATAATAATAATAATCTTAACTATAATAAAGCTATATGGTTGGGAAGTAATTAATATTACAATTAATGCCACAACATCCTTTATTAAAAAAAAAAAAAGCACAACATTTGAAAAATAAAATAGCTATATATTATATAATCATATAAAAAATGTACTTTTGAAAAATAAAATAGCTATATATTATATAATCATATAAAAAATGTGTTCAATTAGAGTTTAAATTTACTCATACAAAATTTGAAATTTACTTTCCAAATGTAATTATCTTAGTTATTATTCGTATTGCGAAAATTATAATATAGATGAAATACAATTAAGAATAAATAAATGTAATTATGTAAATTCTCTCTATAAGTTTATTTAAATATGTACATAATTAGAGATTATATTAACCATATAAAATTTTAATTTTAATTTTAATTGTAATTTTGTATTTTATAAAAATAATAAATACTTGACCAATGGAAGCTCAAAAATATTATTATATTAAACAATTTAAAATATTTTAGTTTTTATACTTTTTATTTATATTTATAATAACATAATTTTTTTTCGTGCATCGCGCGGTGAATTACTAGTAATAATATAATAATAATAATAATAACAATAATAATAATAATAATAATATAGCGAAAAAGAGAGAATCGTAACCGACTTGAAGCAGAATTGACTGCGTGACTCACACCATCAGCTCTGGCGCATCCTCATCCCATGTTGCTCCGGTTCATGCGCTGATCTCTCTCATTTTCTCTCTCTACACTATGGGGCGATCTCAGGGAAAAGTTAGCAATACATTTCACATCCCAATGAGGTGATTGAGTTTCAAAATTGGGTGTTTCACGAGGAATACAACAACATGATTACGATTCTTCGCCGCAGATTGTGATATATTTATATAATATAATATTTACCAATTTCTGCGAGGAAGATCTCTTCTGTGTTCGCTGTTTGCTTAGCAGGAAGAAATGTCTGAATTGGTGGCTCGGACTGGTAGGCAACAGCAACGCTACCACGAAGGCTTTCGCCTCATCGCCGGGTGCTTTTTCATCTGCTCCCCTTCGTCTATGCATTCATTTCCGTGCTTCTTCTTTTTTCGATTTATTTGATTTTTTTTATTTTTTATTTTTGTTGAAATGTGTGTTTCCTCGCTGCGGAAATTTTTGTTGGAATCGCAATGTTGTTTTGTTTTTTGCTGGGATATCTCGTGGTTCGGATTCGGGTTGTTTCGTTTTGGGGAGGAATAGGAGGGAATGGGATCTCTCGATGAACTGCTACTATTTGCAGGTGTTTTTTGATTGAGGGAAACGGCGGTAAAGAGAATGCTGATAGCTATAATGGTCAAAAGATTCTGTCTTTTTCTTTCTTTTCGTTCAACTGTTTTTTGCTCGCCACCCCGACCTTTGGTACCCTAGAAATCAAGGGCTGAATAGATTATGCCCGGAATTTGATCAGTTTGACCTAGCCTGTTCAGGCAGGTATATAGCAGAGAGGTATACCTTTGTAAAAATGAAACAGTGCTTGCTTGTGCAAGAAAATCTGCATTCTTGGATAGTATAAGGACAGTCCTTATTCCAGAAGATTCAATAATGTTAAAAATGAATCTAAAATGCTTGGAAATTGAAATTTTTTATGGTTCATCCTCATGTAGTCATCTACATGGGTATTAAAAAGAGGCAGGGTAGTTGAGGAATGATTTTAGGCTAAGAGACGGGGTTTTGCTGACTTTGTAAGTTTGCCAATGGTTTAGCATTTGTAAGGACACTGCTAAATTGGATGTCTAATTGTCTATGTCAAATATACATAGAAGAAAAAGAAAATGAAAGTCTAGAGGTCAATGCTAGTGTGTCAAGATTACTAAAACATGGTCAAGTCCCAATTGAACAAATCATACCGAGTGATCTGTAATGGTACATTACAAATGCTTGGTTAAGTGTATGGCATAGACTTTGTGATTAACTCGTAGGTTTTATTGTTGTTCCTCTCTGTCTGAGCATTGCTTTCTCGACTGGGTTATTATATCTTCACCAATTGACTCCAGTGTTTTATTGATGTTTACAAACATGAATTAGGAAACAGGATATGTAAATATCTTAGGCTTTTTTTGACTGTGTTGAGTTCTTGCAGGTGTATTCCTTTTAGGTTTAGAAATGTAGCAGAAAATGGTGATGACATCTCAAGAAAAGTTGTTGAAGTGCTTATGATAAACTCAACTAGTGGACCTGGTCTTCTGTTTCCTAAGGTAAACATGAATGTTGCCTTTAAGGTCCAAACAATATACTGTTGCAGTTAGCATAAATGAAATTGTTCTCATTCATATGTAATTACGGAGAGAGTAAATCCTCTTGAGACTTTTGTTATTTTGGCTTTCTACTCTTTTGCATTACAGTTTTAAACTTTTAATCTTAGTACCTCTTAGATTTGGAAAGAGATGATTTTGATGGAACTCTTATAGACCCTATAGAGGACCAGGAGTTTTGATACACAGCTACTGGATACAAAATTTCCAATGGTTTTCTTCAAGAGGGTCAAAATAGGCAAATTATATCATGGATCATGGTCCACCTTCCATTGTAGACCTTGGTCCAAAATGACATTTAGATTATGTATTTGCAGTCAACATATTATGTGCCTTCAATTTATTTACAGACACACTGATACATAATCTGAATGTCATTTACTCATTTTGGACCAGGGTTCACAATGCAAGGTGGACCCTAGTCCATGGTATAACAATTTGTCAAAATATGTTTCATGGAAAAACGAACGCATGCTTATATTTTTCCCTTGGACTTCATTCTTTGATGGTCTTGTGGGATATAATAGAAGTACCTAAGATCAGATTTGGGTTTGCTATTGAAATTGTTTTCTTCAAAATTACTCAGTAGTATTCTCTTAGGCTCTATCTCATTCAGTCAATTGAAAAAAAAGGAGTATATTTGTTTAATAAATAACAATTAAAGTTCATTTAACATTGTGCTTTTATGTGTAACAGCCAGGCTACTTTTTGAAACCCAATGCAGCTTCACATCACTTCTTTTATAGTTTTTGTGTGAAGCAACAGAGAAGTATATGCATTGGCACACAGCTAGTAATGTTTTTGCTTGTCTTAAATATATAGGGTGGGTGGGAAAATGATGAAACCGTTGAGGAGGCAGCTATGCGTGAAGCCATTGAGGAGGCTGGAGTTCGTGGGGATCTAGTGGTAAGCTTCAAGCTTCTGTTGCATCACTTCATCTATAAAATCCAAATGAACAATCTGGTATTTTGTTATCTTTTGTGGTCGAAACTTGGAAAGCCTCTCATTTTGTAATGATGTTCATCATGATCCTATTGCCTCTACATTTTTGCAATGATTAAAGGTGTTACGTTCCTCATTACAGTATTTGTCTTGATATTCAAAGAAAGTGAGGCTTCATTTTGTGATTCCATTGTTCCTGATTTTGCACCTCGATCTATTTTCTACATTTTCAGCATTTCCTGGGGTACTACCTATTTAAAAGCAAGACGCTTCAGGATGAGTTCAGTCCAGAGGGTTTGTGCAAAGCTTCCATGTTTGCTTTGCTGGTGAAGGAAGAGCTGGATTCTTGGCCAGAGCAGAGCCTTCGGAAAAGAAGCTGGCTGACAATTCCCGAAGCAATTGAGTGTTGTCGGCACCCATGGATGCGAGAGGCCCTCGAAGAAGGTTTCTTGAAGTGGCACGCCAGCGGTATGACAAGTACAATGAATAAATGCAAAGACTAGGCTTTCTTGTCTCCTATATATTGAATGGTTTTAGATGTTTAGTGAAGGCACCACCACCACCGACTTTTAGCGGAACTAGACAGTGTGACCTATGAAAGAATCTGCAAATAGTCTTATGTTTTAGGTTTTTCAAAACCTGTTTTTCATGTTCTTTGGTTCCGTGCTATATGCTGATTGATTATGATGATGATGATGGAAAGAAAAGAAGTAGCAGTTGAAGTAGAAACTCAGAAGAAAAGAAATTAATTAATTAGAACCATTATGCATCTTTTACTTCCATCATATCACCACATGCTGTTGAGTGTTCACCTTCCAATTTTTTTTATTTATTTATTTTTTATTAGACCACAAGGTGTCCTGAGCAGAAGACACTTTTAAGCTCGTTCCATATTCAAATTAGTCCCCATTTCAATCATTGTTGTGTGGACTATATTTTGCCTATTATAAAATAATGTACATTCAGTACAAAAATAATGTATATTGTATATAGGGGATATACATTATTTTTGTTCTGAGTGTACATTATATTGTATAATGTACATTCAATATAAAAATAATGTACATTTAATGTATTAAAAATGTACTTTTTGTTATGGTGCATATAACATTGTGTGGACCATGGTCCATACAATAATTTGCGCATTTGTACTGAATCGGTTCAATTAAGAGGTAAATTGTTAGTCAGATTGATTTTTAATACAAGATGAGTTTAAATTCCTGATCTCTCTTAAAAAAATAAGAGTGAACGATTACTCAACCAAGTTGGTTTCACTCTCCAAATTATTCAAATCAACACGTACTCACAAAACGACAACCACTTCATTTTTGTTAGATACAATATAATGGATATAATATTACACGTAATCAATCACTATCAGGCAAATAACATACTAAACAAAATTTAAATATTTAGTATTGTGGCACTAGAAAAATGTCGATGTAAAACCTAGGAAACGCCAGCAATATAATGTTTGTAATATTCTGGGACAAAGTTTAAATATTTAGGTTCCGATTAAAGTTTGTAATATTTTGAAACTGTCCAGAACGGAAAGAAAAAAAAATGAAGTTAAAATTTGAAAAGTCAAAGCGGTATAATTTTGGTTTTTCAGAATTCTAGACCAGCAGGTCATTGACGTAGGCTAGTGGCCTACTGGCCGCCAATAGTATGGCCATTGGCCAAAAACTAAAAATCGTATTTTTTTTTTTACATAAATCCGATTAGAATTCGTCCGGTTTTAATCGGAACCGCCGATAAAAATCGGAACCAGAACCTTAATATAAGGTTCGGATTCCGATTTAGCCATTTGAGGAATTGGAACTGACGGTTTCAAACTGGAACTGAATCAGAATCAGAACTTTGGTCACCCCTATCAAGATATTCTTTAAAATTCTGCTTACTCTTATGTGATTTAGGTATCCCGAGTAATGAGTCAAAACAATATTTACTTTTTCAGTTTCTCTCATGCATCTTGGGTAAACTCATTATATAACCCAATAACGCCATTGACCTAAGTCTAGAAAATCTATTCAAATTGCTTTAAAATTGAGATTACACTATCTCTAGTAAATACAATTGAAAAACTCTGTATATTTGAAATAAACGTATATATTCATTGTAGAATTCAGTAGCAGAAGGAAAAAAAACATGTCATACTCAACCACTCTTTTATGAGGAATCAGAATGAAGACAAATTAAAGACATCTGGTCCTATATATATATATATATATATATATATATATATATATATATATATATATATGTGTGTGTGTGTGTGTGTTCAATGTGAGGTACTGGACCTGAAGGTGAGCTCTCGTTTTCGAGCAGTGACTTTCAAATTGGGTAAGGTTTGCTTTTAGATTTTCTCTTACCATGTATCTTCACAACCTTCCAAACCCTAGAAAATGAAAAAAAAATAAAAATAAAAATAAAGTGGACACACCACACCTCACAAACTTTATCGCCGCCCTTGTCTTGTCCATCAACTTGCCCATTGCCAAACGTTGGAAACCCGCCCAAAATAAATATATATCCACTACACACTTTTAAATAGTGGCTGTGATTTTTTCTCATCATTCAAAAAATTACACCTTTATATACTGGAGTACAAGACTTTTATTTTTCTAATTACATAGTTATACTAATACGAAAGTACAGAGTAATATTTTTAATTAAAATGCATATTTTTTCATTTTATTGGTAATCTGATTTTTAAGTTTGGATTAGTGCGTTTAGTTTTTTTTTTTTTTTTTTTTTTTTTTTAGTTCATATTGGTGCTTTGAATATCATTATATTAGGATTAATTGTCTTTTTTTTTTTGTTTTTTTTTTTTTGTGTTTTTTAATTTATTCCCATTATAGGATCCATCATAACCAAACATCTTGGTACTCATTCCAATTCCACCCTAAGTACTAAACATGTAAAATACTTCTGTCAAAACTCATTACTATTTATCAAGTATTTGATTCTCATTCCAATTTACATTCCCGTGTGAACCAAACACTAATGTGTTTGTTTGTGTATTAAGAAAATAAGAAATATAAGCAAAGAAAAACAAAGATTCTTCAAAATCAAAAGAATCAATATTCAGAATATTGACTGCAGTCTGCAGTCTGCAGCTACAAAAGCATATATAAGCCAAGTGTGCAGATGCAAAATGAAAACCCTCAATTTAGGTATAAATATCCCAATCACTACTGGATAGTAATAAGAGTCATTAATTATATTGCTCTAGGATTAGGGTTACCTTTCATTCTGAATTTTCTCACGTGCGCCAATCGATCTCTCGTTGAGAGCACAAATGATACACCAATTAACTTCACCACAAATATTAACTTATTGTAAGGGTAATTCTATTTACACCACCTATTTTACTATTTGCACCACCTACTTAGTAGGTCAAATAGCTTTATAGGTGGTGTAAATGTCAGCATTAAATATGGTCAAAGATTTTTATTTATTTATTTATTTTAATTACAAAAAAAAAAAAAAAAAAAAAAAAAAAAAAAAACAAAAAAACAACTCCATCTAGTCACCTTCTCCGGTGAGAAGGCAGCCCAGTGGGTTGCCTTCTCACCGGAGAAGGCAACCCAATGGGTTATTTAAAAAAAAAAAAAAAAAAAAAAAAAAAAAGATCCGTCACCTTCTCCGGTGAGAAGGCGATGGACTGCCTTCTCACCGGAGAAGGCAAATGGGTTGTCTTCTCCGGCGAGAAGGCGACCCACTGGGCTGCCTTCTCACCGGAGAAGGCAGTCCAGTTGCCTTCTCCGGTGAGAAGGCAGTCCGTCGCCTTCTCACCGGAGAAGGCGATGGTGTATTCTTCGTTTTTTTTTTTTTTTTTTTTTTTTTAAGAATTAAATTTTGAACTCATAAATGCAGTTTTAATAGGGTGGTGCAAATAGCATTTTGACCACCCATTAGGCTATTTGCACCACCCATATATTTATTACAATTTACCACCTTTTTACATTTTCAATGATACTTTATACCATATTTGGTCAAAGGGGGTGCAAATAGCAACACCCTGTTGTAAATAGAGATTTGACCACAATTTAAGTATCACTTATCATTTTTTGTAAAATCAATGTAAGATTGTATCACATTCCTAGATCCCACTTAATCATGCATTTACATATAAATTCTACTACAGAACCCAAAAAAAAAAAAAAAAAAATGCTCAAACATCCAAAAAATAGTCAGAAATTTACAACTTTATTTATTAGTCAGTACTGTTTGAAATGCGTAATCAGAAAATATATTAAATTAGAAATGAAACAAAATATATTAAATTAGAAATGAAACAAGATTATTATTATTATTATATTTTCATTGAGCTGAGGTTGCAACCCTAGCCTATCTAGCAAAGGTGGGTACAAGAGAAAAATGAAGAGAGTAGAATTTAAGAGTACATATAGTAGAACTCTACTAAATAAAGTAGGGTTGCTTAGCTTAGGTACACACGCCGCCATTCATACATATATATATATATAGAGAGAGAGAGAGATTGGTTGGTTGGTTGGTTGGTTCAGTGTGGTAATTAAAATTGGATCTATATTGATTCATACCAGATGTTTGAAGGGAGTATCCCGGCCGGAAAGCTTTCTTGCAACTGCGGCACATAGGAATCCTCGAAAATGAGATTTGAGTTCTCCGATGATGTGTCTGTCGTCCCAGGATGATGATGATGATGATGATGAATACTAGTCGTCGGTACTTGGAGGACTACATGGTCTTCCATGGCCTGCACGCAGCTGGGTGTACCGACATCATCATCATCATCTTTTTGCCTGCAGATTCCTTGTCTTCCGCCGCCAGTAGCAGCGGCATGGGGCGTCACCGGCAAGTCGTCGGCGTCTTGGCCGGTGAGTTCCTGCACCAGCGCACGGAATTTAGCGGCGCTGGTGTTTACCCTAACAGGGTTGGAGATGTAAACGACCTTCAGCTGTTGCTGTTGCTGTTGCTTTCTCTTGGGGTTTTTGCTGCTATGGCGGCGCCTCTTCTTCTGCTTCTCAACAGTACTGGTAATTAGCATCGTCTCATCATCCATGGGAACTCGATCAGCTCAGCTAGCTAGTACAGTGAAAATTAAAGGGTTTTTATTCGTTCTTCAGAACTTGAGATTTGATCGTTGGATCGATCTTCAATTCTGGACAGGAAAGCGGCGCCGAGTTTTATCAGAAATATAATTGAAGCAATAAACAGATTTGGAGGAAATGGAAGCAGATAATCGAGCCCATCCAGCTACTGAACGATAGATGACTTATAATCATATATATTAACCGAGAGGGCGTCCGGCTACGCGCCGGAATAAGCGTTAGCCGTGAAGCTTACGGGGCCCGGCCTGATATTATATGGATATGATGTTTTTATCAAAGTTTATGAGGTTTACGTATGTACGTTACTGATACTATTTTAGCCGCGGTTATACAGGAGCCACGTCGCAAAACAGGTGAATGACCTCATACGTTCACGGGGCAGTGACGTCATGATTCCACATCGCCTTCAAGCTGAGCTTGCAGTCTATGTCGGCTTCAGCCTCGATCGGCTTCAAGCTGATTATTACAATTTTTTTTTTTTCTTTTTACGAAAAATATCTTGTTGTTTAATACTACTGTTCATTATGGTCCATATCACGATGTCATCAGTGATATACCGACATTTTCAAGTTGGTACTTGAGTTGAGTTGCAATTAATGACCACCTATGCCAACAATTATATTAAATTAAAATTAAAATGCTATTCTAGCCTAGATATATTTTTACTATAAATGGTTCAATATGGGACACGTAACAACATTCCAAGTACTATTTATGATCGAGTTAATCTATCTTATCAAATAGTATACGATTTGATTATTAAAAATTTAAAAAGTTAATTTATACTCATAATATTTTTTTAGTGACGAGAGAAACCCGAATCTTTTAAATGTTGGAGAGAATTGAACTTGTGATTTTCAAGTATAAAAATTATACCATATCCATTTGATCGCCCTTCCAAGAAAATTCACATACATTATTTTGAAAGAATTAGCGTTATATTTTTATGTAAATACTGCAATCAAATTAGTGCCCATATAATTTGAAAATATATTGAAGTCTTCAAATAACAATATTTTTATGCTCATTAATATTTGAGATTTTTTGAAAGCAAAGGATAAAATAGATTACTGCAGGAGAGCTTAAACAAAGTAAGGAAAGACAAAGTTCCCGTACAAAGAACTAGCCTGATGCGAGACTTTAGAAGTTAAAGTGTGAGCAACCAAATTAAATTGTCTAGAGATTAAACGGAAGAGCAAATAGAAAAAAGAGGACATGAGATCCAAGCAATCATTAATCACAACTCCAACATGAGACTGGGGCATGACAGAAGAGATGGTGAGATAGCAATGAAGAACCAAACAGTCTGTATGTAAAACCATAGAAGAAAACATCACTTGTACTCTCGAGAATATATATTTCCATCGTGTAATATAACTCAAACCAAAACTAGGCAATTGACAAAAGTATCAATTGGTTGGCATGAGTGACCATGCACTCTCATCCTTTAAGAGAGGTCGGGAGTTCGAACACCCTCTCATATGGAAAAATCAATCTGGCCACCCAACACTTTGCCCCTTAATTGGACCGGCCTGATACATATGGAGATTAGTCTGAATATAGTACAGGCTTAAAGGTATTTCCTACCGTTAGAACCTGCTCAAAACACCTCATGGCCTGACCAAAAAATGAAGGCATGCCAATTCTACTTAAATGACATCAAAAACTTATCTGACATGTTAAATTACTCTGTATTTTAATTTTTATCAATTTTAAGTGTAATGAAAAAGGTTGACTAGATTTTTATTTATTTATTTATTCTGCAAAAATCATATTGAGGCAATGTTATTTTGACTCCCCCTCCAGAAATCCCTTTCAACTTGAGCTATTGGATTTGGCAAGCATGAAGCATCTAAAGATGGGAAGACTCCCATGACATAACACCTTATCTTATCAGACACTAATTGTTTGTTGTAATTTACATAGTCAACCTCTCTGCTGTCAGTTTCAGAAGAACATAACATAGCTTATGTCAATTTGAAGCCCAGAAACTTGGTACATATTTGATGTTTCCTACAACCTGATATAAACAGGTCGGGGTTTGGGTTCCTAACTGAAAATGGATCAAAACTCATAAACATGAAAGCTACACTGCTTAAAGCTAAGAGAAGCGTTGTTGATCCCCAGAAAGTACGTCTCCCTTCCTGTGGGGTTAAGATATGATGTCCTCTATTCCTTCAAATGAATAGGAAAAGGATCTAAGGATGGATGTTATGCAGATCTGAAGATGAATCGCCAAATTTAAATATTTTACACACTATACAGGCCAGGCCGGTGTTATGTCTGGAGCGGCATGGCATGATTAAGTACTGGGAGGAGGATGTTCATGCTTGACGCGTGCCTTTAGTATTCCAGGAAGAGGAGGCGAGGTGGGGGGCCTACCGGATATGTTTTGTATAGGAGGAGGATTAGGTATCTGAAGTCGGAACATGTTGGGCATGCTGGAACCTTCCCCGCCATCAGCTGGAAGATTCTGTGGCACGGCATCATCCTTTGGTCTTTCGCAGAAATTCATTGCTTTGAGCACATAGTTGTCATCATGTAGCTCAAAGGGTGTGCTGCAATCATTTCAGCATACAAATCATACTATAAGAAGTAAAAAAGCTGCAAAAAATTAAGTGCCTGTTTTTTTGGTTGCCCAAAGGTATCCCTCCAACCAGAAGACTAATCCCCCGTCCCTACTGTCATGTCAGCACACTAAGTGGTAAGAAGGTATCCCTCCAGCCAGAAGACTAATCCTCCGTCCCTACTGTCAGTGTCAGCACACTAAGTGGAAGGGGACTGGCCAAATGGTTTGCTCCATTCATATGGGTGGGGATCGAATCCCCAGCCTCATGCTTAAGGGACGAGGTGCTGAACCACCACGCCAACCATGTTGGTTTAAGTGCCTGTTGGTAATGAGGGTTGAATCCCATTTTAGGCATGAACTTGGTTATCATGAATTACCACCGGAATCATCATACCAAGAACCTAACTCACGACTCAAAACTATGCTCACGGAAAGTAGCTGACCAAACATCAGATACTCGAAGCATTGTGGATATTACAGATCTCTTAATTACCTGTTAAAGTCAAAGTGCACCAATTGCATATCTTCTGATATTTCCACTTCAACTGTTGCATGAGGGCGAGTCTGGAGTTTCCAAAATATAGGAATGATGTTATAATACCTAGGAATATTTATTCTTTTTGTTCCCTTTTAGTGGTGTAGTTGTGGAAAAAAAAAATGGTAATTAAGATGCTTTTGTTTCCAAGTACTCCCTTTGGATATCATTTTGACCAATAACTTAACAAGAAAGAATAAATATCATTTTAACTAATAACAATAATTAATGGAATTCTCGAGCAGTTCTACCTGAACCAATATGAATGGTAAAGCCACACCACCACTTGGAGTATTTCCAGAGCTGTATAGTTGTTCATTGCGTTTCATGAGGTTCTGAAGACCTGCATACTTTTATAGGAAAACTAGAATTAAGTCCACGAGCATTATAGAAACAGATAGCTAGCCATGCCAGACTCCATAAAATTTTCATGGATTTAGAAAACGAAAATTTCCAGAGTGCCTTGAAAGGAATCCAACCTGCTCTTCCAGTTCTTCTAAATAGGCAGCTTTTTTCTCGATCCTGTTTCTCAATCCAAGACGCTCAGTCTGTAATTATTTAATTATATGCCACCAAACCAAATGTCTATGAGAGAGAGCGATTTAGGAGAAAAGGTAGGAGCGGGTAAATTGAAATTTTAGAAAAATTAAAACAGACCTTTAGCTCTTCAATATCATTTACGCTCGTCCGTGGCAGACCCTTCCACTGTATTTCTTTTTTATCCTTTGAAATAATATCCATTGCCATAAGAACATTCAGAGCATCATACACACGACGACGAATGTTTTTCTCATCATATTGTTGCTGTCAGGGTCAAATCACTGATTTCAATATCCATTAAAGCGTAGAAGAAAACAAGAGCTAAGAAATATAACCGAGGTATAAACTTTTAAACCTGATCTGGAGATGAAAGATTATTGTTAGGATCAGAAAATTCAGCTACAAGTTCGTCAGCTACCTGTATAGCATATTTACTTCACCCATTAGACAGACATATAGCAAGCTTTTAACATTGCAATATCCACGATAAAGTGGAAATTATGCCTCACTTTAAGCCACAAGGACGGACTATATTTTCTAAAGCAACCACACTTCAAGAGTTCAAGGCAAGCCAACCATAGATCACAATTTGAAAGTTTCAGTTTTTGGCACAAGAACAATTTGGAGTTTCAAACTTATGGAAATGAGAAAAAGTATAGGAAACAGCCTCATACTCATAAATAAAGTGCCCCATTTCATGTCTGCTATTAGCAAACAAACTAGCAAATAAGTATTCAAGGCATGAAGAAATGTTTATGGACGTCTATCAGCTATGGTTCCTCACATGGGCATGGATCATTCATTAAAAATAGTAATCACCAACATCCAACTCAGCCCTTCACAAATAAATATCAGTTTTGATATGAATACCTTGTACACCTGTCCATCTCCTTTAAAGTTGAAATAGTATCCAGAGAGGCCATATTTGCATTCACGCAATCTAAATCAAGCTTACAAAGAGCTTTCATCTCATTGCCACTGAACATCAAACCAGTACAAACAGCCAAGATTTTGAAGCATATTGTTTCCCAAAAAAAAAAAAAAAAAAAAAAAAAAAAAATCCAACAGGTTCCAAAGTTATAAATATCCATCATCATCAAGTTGAAAACAATCATAACAAATGATAAGAAGTAAGCATTAATACAAAAAGATGCAAAACGAACAATATATCTAGAAAAAAACTATGAAATAAGATTTAAAAAGTATTTCTTAAAAAAAAAAAAAAAAAAAAAAAAAAATCCAACTTCAAGTTCCTACAAGAACATAGCTCAATTAGCAGCTTTTGTTGTATAACTCAATAATATGGTGAAATTGCGTGCATAAAACCATGTAGACAAAGCCTATGAGAGTCATAATGAAGATAGCATAAGGAAAATCAGCCATATTTACACATTACTCATATGCAGTCATTTATAAAATATATGCAAACAGGGAAATGACAGAATGTCAGCACAACTACATGAAAAGTGTAGAATCATAGTTTTGCATTACATATGTTACTAAGCCAACAGACCTCATTGTATGTGGTTCTTCCTTTGCTTTCCACCTTCTCACACACTGAACAAAGACAATGGAATATATTAATCACAATAAAACTTTTAATAAAGTCAGTTTCACGGATACATACACAATACATTATATAAGAGAAACCAACTATAAAGCATACAGCAATTATAATTAACTGAAATCATTAAAATCCCGTGCTAGTGAAAGCAAACGAACAAAAAATACCTTTCATGCTAAACTGCCGTAGCCCTCTACCACTTTTATCCCCTCCTGCTGCTCGTTGACCTCTTTTCTTCTTCCTATTAGAGCCAACAGATTTGCAGCCACGGTCAGAATACAAGAAATTTGAAACCCAGAGAGGACAAGTAGTCCATGTTTAAGAAACTAAATAAACCCTTCATGCCTAATCAAGTAATCAACAAGTTCTATATATTTTGGTACTTCAGTCAGACTGCACTGAGCACTAAATATGCCAGCAAGCTTTAAAGCTAAATAGAAATCCGTTGTATGCCACAGGTGCATTGATGCAATGAGCAATATTCATTAAGTCAGAAGTAATAAAGATATTAGCATTTTAGGATTACATTGTTAACTAAAATCAATATGTTGACATCAACATACAAACCTACATATTTTTTGATAGAGTGTAAGCTTGCATATATGTTCTTCGCAGACTCAAATTACAGGCTAGCTAATATAGTATGCATTCATATCCTCCACTTAAGCACGCCACACATGTCATGTGACTTGTGTCGATGTTTGTTACACTGAGGAAACCAGGAATTAAAAACATATAGGTCATGAAAAATATTTGATAACTTCGGATAATAACAGGTTATAATTTCTGAAACCGTGGACCCAGCACTGAACAAATTTCGTTAATAAAAATAAGGCAGAGGACTGACCCAGCAGCGCCAAGAGACCCGGCATCATCAGCATGATTATCCAGGCTAGTTACCCGAGCAAAAGTGTTCTCGCTGGCAGGAGTGGCAATGGCAGCCTCGCTCCGGCTCGATGGTGACCCAATACTGCCGCTAGTTGATACAGATTGACCCGAAACGGTGGTGCCCCAAGACCTGGTAGCCCCACCTCCTCCTGCGCCGCCGTTACCTCCTCTAGATGGGTTTTTCTCCCCATCCTCATGATTATTCACCATCCCCACCAAAACTCATCAAGACCACTCAGCTTTATGTGTTTCCCAGCTTCAATGAAGCCAGAAAAAAATTCGTGGGTTCCAAGGAAAACACCAAAGAATCTGATTTACACCATAAATCCCAGCAAAAATACACAGAAATCTTGAATCTTGAGACCCAAACGATAAAGATAGAAGCAGGAAAATCTGGGCTTTCCACGAAATTGAGGGTTTTCAGCTAAATTGTAAAACTAATCAACATTTTTAGAAGCAATATAACCAAAATAAAGGTGGGTTTAAAAAGGGAAATATTGAAAGTTATATGCACAGAGGTTTAGCGGGAGATTCGTAATATTAAGTATGGTATGCGATGTGAGGGACTGACTGAGGCGAGTTTGGTTACTACTTTCTACTTTGCAATCTCTTTCTCCTCCGTCAATACATAAAATTAAAGGACAAAAAGAACCTGGGCAATGAGGAGAGAGAGAGAGTAAAACCGTTTGGGTCTCAGACTCTCAGCCCGTTGACGGTGGAGATTGCGGTGGTGAGCTACGGTGGTTCCGGGTCTAAGATGGTGGATAGGAGCGCATGGACAGGATTGAGGAAGGGAGGGAAATTTGATAAAATGAGTTTCCGAAGCTTCTCTTTTTGTTTTTTCTTCCTTTATTCTTTTTATTCTTTTTATTTTTTTATTACGTAGTACTTTTTACTTTTATTCTGAAGTTGTATTTAAAGTTAATTATTAATTATGGGTTGACTCCATTAGTTTTTAATACTACTGACTCTGTTACAATGTAATATTTATATGTACGTATTTTTTCAATTTATTGAAATATAAAGAATCAATGTCTCCACAGAAATTTAATTTTTGATCTTTTATTTGGGAGAGTCTATGACATTGTTAATTACATTAGCCATTAACTGTTAATTTTAAATTGCATTATTTATTGATGTTTATTTATATATACTAACTGATGTGATTAGTACATCGCATTAATTGTTTTTATACATATGTTTAGTGAAATTAATATTGCTATTATATTACTAAATAAGACTTGTATATGTTTATTTTATAAGATATACGTTAAATATAATAATATATGTATACAATTATAATATATACTAGTTTTTTATGCGTGCTGTGCACAAAATAAATGTCCAACATTAGTATTCAATGTTAAAATTATAGTTATTAATTTTTTAGAAAATTATAAAATTTATAGTTGTAGAATTATGTTATATATTAACAAGTATAGTTGATAATTTGGTTAATAATTATGGTATGATCAATAATTGTTAAAGTACAAATTTAAATATGGTAAATGATTAAATGTAATTATGGTATAATTTAATATATATTGACCGAATCAATGCGTATTAAAAAAAAAAAACATTGTTCTTCTATTATTTACTACTACCCCTTTTATCACATTCTACAAATGGTAGTACAAAAGTTACATATTAAGATAATTTTAGACAAAGTAATAAATAAAGTTACACGTAATCGCTTTGGTAAAAATCAAATGGTGTACATATTGGCATAGTTTTAAAAGAAAAAAGCTAAATAAAATATTCAAAAGCAAGCACTTTAACATTTTAATAAGACCTAAGCAAAAAAATCTAAAAATGACTTAAATACTAATTGTTTGTGTGGTTGTTTTTAGACCATCTCCAAACACGAAAAAATGTTAGAATGGTGTACTTTTAACTTCTCGTTAAAGACTTTCAAAAAAAAAAAAAAACTTCTCGTTAAAGTACAATATAAAAATAATTTTTTTAAAGTATAAAAAGAATTTATACAATTGAAAAGAAATGAAATTTAATTATTTTCCATTTTTCCCTACAATAATTGAGTTTCATTTGTGAAGTAAGTTAAACGACTTCTTACATGGCGTTTCGTTGGAGGGGGGAATTATGTGGGAAAGAAATTGTAATTCCATGGGAGTTGAATGACTGGGAATAAAGTGGGAATTTAAATTCCAGTGTTTGGTTGATAGGAATATAATTACTGGGAATTTCAATTCCAATGTTTGGTATACATGGGAATTGAAAGGGAATAAGTAGTATGAAGTCAAAAATGTCCATTATTGTTGTTAGACATTAATTTTAGGTTAAAAAATGAATGGGTAATTTTGACTCATCACTATCTTTTTTTCCCAAGAATTAAAATACCAGGGAGGACATGAGATTTTAATTCCATGAAAATGGGGGAATTGCAATTCCCTCCAACCAAACTACGGAATTTAATGGTCTTTGGAATTAGGTGGGAATTAAGTGGGAAGGGAATTTAAAATCCCTCCAACCAAACGCCCTGTTAGGGTATTCTCAATAATGTGAAGATTTTGAGGGAATTTTACCAATGTGATTAAAAAAGAGAAAATGAGATAGGAGAAAAAAAAAAACTAAAATCTAAAAAAAAATTAAAAAAGAAGAATTACGCGCCCAAGCGGGCACGAGCTCTCATTCTCCATTAGTGGTCCCCACTTACCTGCAAAACCCCCAACATTGCTGGACCAACTCTCCCCACCCCCCATCTCCCTCTTCCCTCTCTTTCCTCCACTTCACCCTACTTTTCTTAAAATTTGGTCCAAAATCTTCCTTTTGGGGATGCTCTTAAAATTTTTTACTTTAACAAAAAGTTGCGATATTGGATACACCCAAAAAAAAATGTTTGATTACACATTTTTAATGAAATTGGAAAAATAGATCATTTTAGTTTGAATGCATAATTTGTATATTTTGATGTTTTAGTTAATTTTTTTGTAAAAAAAATATATATATATATTATTGTAGTCACTGTTGCAAAAATCGGTCTAGGCGCTCCTAGACCGTGACGATTTCGCCCTAGCCGCTCGCCTAGGCGTCCGCCTAGCGCCTAATTCGGCCGACTTGCCGCCTAGTGTCTAACTTGGCCGAGTTAACTCGTCCATTTCGGTCGAGTTAACCCGGTCAGCTTGACCTTGCTAATTTCTTTTCATTATATATATATATACACGCCCGTATACTAGTTTGGTACTTTGAATTTTTTGATGATTGAGATATTTGAGTATTTCATATTTTTAAGGAATAAGGTTCAAATTGGCCACTGAACGTAACCTGAAAATGCAATTAGGCCACTGAACGAACAAAAAGTGCAATTAGGCCACTGAACATTCAAAAAACGGGCAATTAGGCCACTGAACTCTCCAAACGTATGCAATTTCACCGGATAGCAGGTTACCTTCAATTTTAGCAGGTTACCTGCTTACGTGGCAGCTGAGTTGGCATTTTTAATAATTTTTAAATAATTTTTAATAATTAATTTTAATAATAAATTTTATAAAAATTTTAAAAAATTAAATAAAAAATAAAATAAAAGCGTTTTTTATTTTTTTTAAAAAAATTTAAATAAAAATTTATTATTAAAATTTATTAAAAATGATTTAAAATTTATTAAAAATACCAACTCAGCTGCCACGTAAGCAGATAACCTGCTAAAATTGAGAGTAACCTGCTATCAGGTGAAATTGCACATTTTTGGAGTGTTCAGTGGCCTAATTGCACTTTTTTTTTTTTCGTTCAGTGGCCTAATTGCATTTTCAGGTTACGTTCAGTGGCCAATTTAAACCTTATTCCTATTTTTAATATTGTTTTCATGTTATGACTTATGAATTATCATTATTTCATTTATTTGGATGTATTATTTGATTTAATGTTGAAAACATCCTCATTAAAATGATCAAACTGCAAGTCTGTCACTGTTTTTTTAGCTCACGCCTAGCGCCGCCTAGGCCATCTAAGCGCTGCCCGGCCGCCCGACACTGCAACCATAATTGTATTTGTTTTGTGAGTATTTGATTTTTATAATAATGTAATTATAAAAATTAATATAATTTATGAATAAATTATTAATGTAACCATATGATTAAAATGATTGGTAACTTGGTAAGTCGGAGTAGTAAAGTAGACTAATGTAGCCGTAACTAAATAGTTGATAGTCGAGCTGCATACGCGAAAAAAAAAAGAAAAAAAAAAAAAGGCATTTTTATAATTTACTGTATGAGGTCCAGAGTCCAGACCACGGCGACTCCGTGCTAAACTATGCCGGCGATTCCTAACCCTTCCGTCCTTATCCACAGCCGCTTCCACCAGAACCACCATCGGCTGGCCACCGTGTTCCGCTCTCTCCACTGTCACCTCAACCTCTCACCTTTTTCCCTTTCCGGTCGTACTTTCAGACCTCACTCTACTTCTTCATCTTCATCCTCATTATCTGTAGAGTCTTCCGCAGAATCGCCTACGCAGAACACCCGGTCCGGAAGGTCTGGTTCTATTGCTTCCCCTCCGGCTCAGCTCGATGTCTTGCAGAAAATCGACGTCAATCCTCCTAAAGGCACCCGAGACTTCCCCCCTGAGGACATGCGTCTTCGTACTTGGCTCTTTCAGAACTTCAGAGAGGTCTGCTACTCTGCTTTTGCCCTTTATATATGTTTTTGGTGGTTTGTATTCGAGAACTTGATGTATCGACTTTTTAATCACAATGTACAATCCTTCAATGTCGCGTTAGTGCAAGCTATTCAGTGTTGTCCGGTGATCGTGTATGATATGAATTACAGTAGCATTACTAAATGTTCAAGTCAAAGTTATCACAACTTCACCATCCGGCGTGATTTTATGGCTCCAAGCGGCTCTTCCTGCTCTCTAGAACACTCTTAATCTTAAACGAAGATTGATTTCTAACCTCAAATCTCAAATCAACAGTAGACCAGCCTCAAACTATTAGAATTAGCAGATCACACCATATACATAAAACAGGAATGAATAATTATAAAGCTAGAAGAAAACATATGATTTTTTTTTTTTTTTTTAATGAAGTGTGACAAGCAATTAACATTTTGGATATTGGACAAAAAGTTTCCTGAACTCAATGAATGTTGTTAGAAATGAAGATCAATACTGTGACTTATGCAGAATCAAGTTTTTTTTTAAAAAAAAAAATAAAAATCTGTGTTACCTATACTAGAGTGTCTGCAACCAATGATTGAGCTGTATTTTGTACATGGCTTCTAGATAAAGAATGCTACAGAAACATGCTCTTAGTGTGACCATCATGAAGCTAACATGGCTTTTCTGTTCCCCTTATCTACAGTTAAAACTTTATTTAGAATTAAAAGGGGGAGGAAGGAATGTTTTTGAATAAGGTAAGCATTCATGGTTGTTGGTGCCTTGTAAGTACTATAGAATTCATATTTAAGTATTTAGGCATTTACAAGGAAACTGTTATAGGCAAGATTGTTGCTCATATGTGGATGCTGGTGGTATGTTATAAGTTTATATTTAAAGAAAAAGTAAAGAGCAATTAAAATGTCATCAATTAAATATTATGGAGTATATGCCAACATTCTTTTTTATCTTTTTTTTTTTTTTTTTTTTGGGTATTAACTTTTGGAACATTTAAGAGAAATGCTGGTTCTCAATTTATTTTTGCAACGCTCTTTGATTAACTGGATAGTTACCATAGTAGCTTTCAGTTGGTCTCTTACATGTTTGTATATGTTCTGATTTCTTGTCATGTGTTTAGGTTTCACAATCATTCGGGTTTGAAGAGGTGGA